CACACACACACACACACACACACACACACACACACACACACACACACACACAGAGTTAAAACATAAAAGAAAAACATTAAGACCAAGGAGACATGGGGAGGGAAGGTATGGGAACTGTTATTACTCAATCAAACCCCTCCATTGCACTGTTCCCCCACCACTGGGGGCCCGGCTAATCCTGACCCATGTCAAGACTTACCTTACATTTCACCGTCCAAAGATTGGGGTCCCTGAATGGGAGGGAAAAATAAAGCCCGTGAGGTTGCTCTGTGCCGTCCAACAAACAGTCCTTTGCTCCTTGGGCTGACTCAAGGAATCTTGGTGGGCCTCTTCAGCTACCACCACCACCATTGCCCCCTGCCCCAAACAAACTCTCCTTGCACCCCACCCCCTCCGGCTGATAAAATCCGTCGTCTCTTACTTGACTCCCGGAAGTAGCTGCTGTTGTGTGATGTCATCAGAAAGCTCATCGGAGCCGCCGTACACACTAGAGAGACCAAAGGAAAAAGGAAGCCTGGCTGAAAGGCCGTAAGAACCCAGGAAACGGGGCCGCTGATCAGAGACCGACGGGGACTCTTAGCCGAGGAGATGCCCCTTACTCACGTCTCGCCCACGGAAGACTTGGCGTATTTCTTCATGTAATACTCGCCCAGCTCTTCTTCTCTTTGGTCCCTGAAGAAAGTGGGAGAGAGAGAGAGAGAGCAGAGTAGTAGGGGGAAAAAGAGGAATTGTTGGAACCACCACAGTAGTATTCAGCCAGTAGATGGCAGCCTTTACAAGTTTGGATCTATGATATATACTCTATGCTCTTTTGTTCCAAGTAGAACTTGCTTCCTGTTACAGTAAAACAGTTGAGCAGTAAAGCACATGGTGACTGTATTCTTTGCTCTGTGGTGCTGTATATAAACAGAATTTGTAACAGGAATGAACCACGTGGTTGTTAAGTCCCCCTATGACTGGGGGCTATTCACATAGAGTCGAGGTGGCGCAGTGGTTAAATGCAGCACTGCAGGCTACTTCAGCTGACTGCAGTTCTGCAGTTCAGCTGTTCAAATCTCACCGGCTCAG